GTTTGGCTAGATCGGTGGAGCGGCTGAACAAGGCCCTTATAAAAGTCAATAAGGAGGTGGGGCAGTTCTTTATCCGCAATGGGGGGGCTGCTTGTCTGGCATTTGGAGTTGGAGGTAGATACTTAGCGGTACCTTTGTAGCGATGGGGTGCAGCTTAACGCAGTAGGGACGGATTTATGGTCCCTGGGTCTACAGGATGGTGTACGGGTGTGTGGTGGCACGCATGGGTAAGGGCTTACCCAGCGTGCTGTGGCAGTTGTTGGTCTTTGGAGGCGGCACTTATTCTGAAGTTAAAAGATAATGGTTTGGGACCCATCGGTGGTATGGTGTGCCCGGGGGCATTCCAGTTAACCGAGGTTTAACTGGAAGGTGGTGTTTCTGCACTGTGGATGGTATGTTTGTCTCCGAGCCGGTGCATTGCGGCTGGAGGCCTAGTGTAATATGAGTTCTGCAGGTGGATATCAGTTCTGTTTTGGTGCCTTCGAAGACCAACAACTTTGATTATCTGTTTCCGTTTTAAGGAATGTTTTTGTGTATTGAAGTTGAAGTGTTAATAAAAGGCCGTGTTTGGCCATTTTACTCCAATCGGTGTTATGTTTTCCTTTAATGTTAGTTTATAAGGGGCGGGTATGTGGAAGAGTGAAATGGTGGTATAGTGGGTTTTGATTAGTCTCCTATGCACTTGTCATGATATTTTAGCTAGCAGAGTGCCAAGCTCCTGTGTACTCTGGCATTTAGCATTTGCACTAAGTTTTAATAGCACTCCATGAATATAAGTGTTGTGAGAGTTTCAAAGAACAAAAGGGTAAGTGACTGAAAGAACACTGACCTAAAAAAAATCTCATAGTTGGCGTTGAATGAATTTAGAATTTGTTGGTGAGGTCATTAGTAAAGGGTCATTGCATCACATGGTCATGGTCAAAAGTGTGTTTCCTGAAGGCACAAGACATCACACTGACGCTTGCAAGCTTCAAACCATAATTGTAATATTTGTTCAGGCTATTTAGCCCTTCAACATCAAAAGATGTGATTTTAAAGGGCATAGGTGTAGGTAAGAGGTTGTGCTTGGTTTACTGTAGGTATCCACAAGAGTGTGTCCAGGTGATAACTACAAATAAGGTTACCGCAAGACAAGCGGTTTACTATTTAGGTGTAGAGGTCTGGTCAGTCCTAGCAGGAAGTTGTTGATCCTTCAGTAAGGTCCAGATAGTAATATGTGACTTGTGAACAAGAGCCAAATAAAAGAAAAAATACTGTAACAGCAGATAGAAAAAAACAGCTATCATATAATAACTGTGATACAACAATAAAGGAAATAAGTGAGTGGTAAATAACCTTGTCTGTTATCGTGGGGGATTCAGCAAGAGGGGGATATACAGACAGTTTTTCCAGGGCTGGAGTAGAGATTAGTGGTCCAGAGAGGTTACTTAGGTGACCATGTCATCTGGAGGTTCAGGTGCAATCCATTCTGGTTTAGAGGGCTGATATGGCGAGCCCCGTGGTTTTAGGATTTGCCATTGACATAGTAGACAGAGGTCTTCCTCCAGGAATCAGTAATTATAGGTTTTACCTTCTTTGGTGACCACCAGCTTCACTGGGTGCCCCAATTGTAATATTGGGATTGCATAGGGGTTTGGTGATAGTGGATACATTCTTGAGTTTGAGCATTGTGTATTTGAAAGGTTGGCATAGAAAGACAGACCTGCATATTGCCAGGGGAAAGAAGCAGCCTTTCTGATAGACCAAAGTAGTTTCTCTTTGACATGGTAAAAGTGAATGCGAACGAATGTGTCTCTTGGTAGGTTTTCTGGCAGGTTAAGAGGTTTAGGTAGTCTGTGAATGGGGTTAATAATCAGGTTTGAGGATGGGGTATCAGGTAAGAGATCAGTCAGTAGTTAATAAAGGAATCTTTCAAGGCTGCAGGTTTGACGTTTTCTTGGATACCCCTAATTTTGGCATTGTTTCTTCTTGAGTGATCTTCTAGATCAGCTATTTTTTCCCTTCATCCATTTCACATCCTCCTCCCTTTCACTGTGGACATCAACTAGGTTATTAAAAGTGGAAGCATATTTGCCCATTTTAGGTTCCAAATGACTGACTCTGACCCCTAAATTGTTTATTTCACCTGTGAAGTAGGGGACCATATTAATAATGTCAGAATGGATTGAGCACCGGCTGATTGGTAATAGGGAAAGCTGAAATAGAATTGTGGAGTCCTGTGTCCTCAGGAGAAGTAACTTGTAAAGGACTCACCTCTGCAAGAGTGTCTGTTGTGGAAGACAGCCTGAGCCTAGCTTTAGCTGTGCTATTGGACAGTGAGGAGGCATGGGAAAGTGTTCCTGTACTGGCTGGCAGCTGCCTGTGTTCCCCTCTAAAGTGATAGTGCAGCTCCATGTCAGCCATCACGCTGTGGGATTGTGTTGAGTATCTGCCGTCTCCATCTTGGCTGGGTGGCTTGCTTGACAAGGGCCATCCTGGTCGGCTTCAAGTCAAGCCCCCCCTCCCATATGCATTTTGACAAGCAGCCTCAACTATTAGTCTCTCAACTCCATGTCACGCTCTCTTTTTCAGTGTTTCAATCTCTTTCAACCTCCTCTGGCTGACAAGGTTCCAACTAGGTCATGAAATCTCACTCTCAACTGCTAAGGGGCCAACTCAGACATGACATCCCACTCCATGGGTCTGTACTAAAAAAAACACACCACACTACACACACTGGAATGTTCTCTTCTGTCCAGGGAAATCCACCACTCAGAGTGAGAGCAACCCACATAGAGAAAAATCTAGAGAGCCTATGTCAATGGGCTTTGGCTTATGGGGATGGCATCAGTTATACCAGCCCAGGCACCACAATGCCAGGAGATCTACTTAATTAGACTGGATATTATAAGTTTGCAAAAAAATATATTCCTTGTTTTCCATAACTACCTCATTTGGTAAAGCATTCCACAACTTAACAATTTTTACTGTAAAGAACCCCATTCTAAATTATTGAAAACATATTTTCTTGCATTTGAAACTGATGCATCCATCTATTTCATTAACTTTGGTGCATGCCTCTGAATATTCTCCAAAACACCTATTTTTCCAATGTGACCCCCCAAACTGAACAATGATAGAGTTAACAAAAATGTAAAAAAATTGTCCTGTATTTTATGAAATGTGAACCTCCAAGTCAGGACCTTTATAAATGTCCTTTTGAGCAGAGATAAAATACACTAAATATAGGACACTCAGAATGCATTACACTGGATAGGCTTGAATGGAAAGAAAATAGCTGTTTTTCACGCATTGTTCACAGTGAATCAGTCTTATTATGTACTTCAACAAAACTTACATTTTACATGAGATATTGCAACCTGCTTGGATGCACAAAAAATAGGCAATTTTAGCAAGGAACATGCTTGTAGAAATTTATCAGTGCTTGACTGGTGCATACCGTGATGATTGCTGATTCCGTCCTTTTTCTTATCAGGAATAGCACAAATTATCAGGCAGACAATTACAATCCAGTGAATTCAGTTATTCATCCTTAAAAAAGTAAAAAGCAGCACAAAGTTCAGTCAAATACATATGTCTTGATTTGTGACATTATAGATATGTACATAAGATCCAAATTCTTATTATGCAGTAGGTATCACTAACCAAAAGGGACTAATTTTTTAACAACTTTAGTAAAAGAAATATTTAAGGATTCAACTGTCGAAATCAACAGTAGTTTTTACAATGTGTCTAATGTATACTGTACATTACATATGCATATGTATTTTCCACAAAAAGAAAGCTAAATACAGTATATAAGCTTAAAATAAAGCAGGGTTAGAGCTGTGGCACAGTAAAGGTAGCAAAAACATTAATAGGGGGAGAAAAAAATTGGCAGAATTGTTAGTGTGTACATTGACATGCATTCAGTTTAGGAGGTACTTACAAATTTGGATATCAAGAGAAAAGGCTAATTTAAGTATCGTAAATGTGTATGTAAAATACAAGCATACTGGAGGGAATGGAAACAAAGATGAAACTGGGTTGGTCCTTAAAAAAGGTTTTTGTTTAAGATAAATTAAATTAAAACTGATGAGAAGAAAAAAAGAATAAAAAAGGGGGAAGAGGTGGGGGAGGAACTGGGAAGGGAGAAATAGGGTGCAAGAAGTGACAAGGGAATAGTGTTTAAAAAGAGAAGACAGTTGGCTAGGGTGAGGTGGCTAATTGTGTGGGTTATGTGTACCCATTTTTGAAAAGCTGCATAAAGATCAAAGATCCAATTAATAGATTTAAATATAGATTCAAATTTTTAATAAAATCTGTTTTCCAGTTTGTCTGTAAGTTTCCATAGAGTCCAGTGTTAAAGCTTTCATCAATATAATATTATTATTATTGTTGCTGTTGTTGTTGTTGTTATTATTATTATTAATATTAATAATACCAATATTACAAAGGCCATCATCCTGCAAGAATCTTAAAACACTGTTTATTAAAAATGAAAAGAAAGACGCTTACAATAAAAGTGCACTTTCAACCAGTGCACAACAGTAAAATTGCATTAATATTATGTCATCGCCCACTTAAGAGTCTATCTATTGGCATCACCTCTCCAGATACAACTTTCTGTTTGAAACTACGGGTTGGCGTGTGAAACCTCTGGCTCAACCTCAACACATTTTGTTTAGGCACATGACTTCAAGGTAAAGGAGATGTGAAGTTCATGTATTCATGTCCGCTTTTTATTCTAACTTGCTGTCCATGATCAAATAGCAGACAAGGTAATGCACATGGTCAGAATAGCACCAGTTGCACAGCTCCTGATGTAAACAGGACAATGTCTTTTTGGACACTGACCTGTGAGATGGGGAAACAGCTCTCATTGTTTGAACACTGTTTGTGTGGAAGTAAATTAATGACTGACATTCTGCGGTTTAGCCACAAGATGTCACTGTTTTCTAACACAGGCTCAAACTGCATAGATATTTGTATATTCATGAAGAGGTGGGGTTTTGCACTCAGAGTTGAAGTTTAGTGAACAGGAAGAGGAGACTGCAGCCATGTTTTGGATGATGCTGAATGAAGGGGCCGTGTGAGCTGAGAATCCAATGACATCCAGGTGTGAATGCGTCCCTCAGTAACCAGAGCTGCAGCTGAGTGAAGCTGATGAGATTGCTGCCAGGAATGCTGATGTGATTGCTGCCAGGAAGCTGATGAGATTGCTGCCAGGAAGGCTGATGAGAGCAGAGGAACTAAGCAACATATACGGCGAGACCGCATGCTTATTGGAGAGACATTTGTTCTGTTCAGAGTCACCAGCGGATGCAAAGCAGACCCGGGTCGGTAAGATCGTGCACGCACCTCATTTCAGTGTGGGCGCCTTGAGACTGAGTCCAGGCCTAAAGTTAGTTAGTTAGGGTCTCTTTTTGTGTCAGGCCACAAGGGTTGTTACTGATTATTGGAAGGACTCCACAACTTAAAGTGGCATTTCACAAGGGAGAGCTGATAAAATCCTACAAACTCAAGCATGAATGCCGTTTTGCTCAGAAGGAATACTCAGGCACGTGCTACAGGACCAGTTATGGGAGGGGGAATACTGTAGATTGGTGTAACATTGTAAGCTGTTGTGCTGCACCACAGGCTAGCCCATACCATACACCCATACACTGATTCCTGCTCTTTTAGGGTAATAACAGATAAGGTGTGGCAGCTTATTTGTGCCCGCCAGTAGGTAAATTACTTCTCTCTCTACCTTCATCCAGCAGAAGGCGCCGCACTGTGCAGCACAAGGGCTCGGCCTTTGAGCTGGGTGTTTGTAAATTTATTGTATGTTTCCAGCATTTGTGGTTGTGTTTATTTGCCACATCTAAGTAAAATTCTGTTGTGGCAAAAGCTGGTGTTGGGGTTGCTTTCCTCGTTCGTGACTTCACTGTATCCTGGGGAGCCCACCCCGGTACACGGCTTACAGACTTACAAAGGTTGGTGCTCCCTGTGACTGTGTGTGTAGCCTTGTGCTACCAGCTGTTGGCATGTTACAAAACTAGTCTCTAAACTTTTTGATACCACCTCATATCTGCAGTGTGAGGAATGCACAAAACTTTTCAAGCAAGCTGTAGTCTTTTTTACACTATGCAGGCACATCAATGGGTGATAAATTGGTAATTGTCATTGGCTGATATTATTAAAGCGAACCTTTTCATTTCCCAAGTATGTAATATTTTGGATTTTTCATAATCATTTCTATTTGATGTTTTAGGCAAACTCCCTTTTTTCCCAAAATGTGCAGTTGAGGAAAACTGAAAAGCATGTTACTGAGATGAAAATATTAACTTTTTTGTCTACTTTTGTTTTGCTTCACAGGTTATTCAGTAAACCCAGCTGAAAGTTCAGTAACTATGAACATAATGTCAAGCCCTTTCTAGTATATCAGAGCTGAGGCTTACTATATTGCAAACTATTATTAATAAAGTGCATGGGTAGCTGTGCACTACCATGGGTTACATGTAATGATGCAAAGACATTTTTAAATATATACTGTGGAAAGAAGGTCAGCTTCAAAAGCAATATTGAAAATACACAAATCCTTTCTAATACAAGCTTTGGACATGCATTAAAGCTGCATGCGAAGTTAGAGAATACTACACTGTAGTCCTTTAAATGTGACATTTAAAAAGTGGTTGCCCTTAATATTCAAAGCAGATCCTTACCCAGGCATGCAGCCTGATGATAAGGGAGGTCAGTGAGCATGTGATCCCCCCTCCTGAACCATACCATGTGCACATACCTGATAGGAAACTGAGATGACAAGGTTGGTCTCTCTTGTATCTCCAACCCAGGTCCCACTGGGAGTGAAACAGATAGTGTCAAGGACCAGGAGGAACACAAGTGCTGGTAGATGTTAACAATAGAACTTGCCGCTGGAGATGCAGGCTTTGTAGAACTGCAAGACATTAGGTCAGGAACAAAAGCTTTGCAGGACAGACCAGCCAAAGTTAAGGACAAACTGTGCATTCATTGCAAGTTCAGGAAGTGTGACTTGTCACAGGCTTGTAGCTGGAACCTACTCTGGTCGGTTGGAGCAGATGCAGATGGCAGCTAGCGCAGGCAATAAACCTAAAGCCGAATCAGAGAAAAAAGTGTGATCATATGGGTAAACAAGGTCAGCAGTGGTTGGGCAGTGAGGTACAGAAGCGCAGGCAGAATCAAAGTTATACGCAGAGCCAAGGTCAGGAATGGGTGTGAACAGAAGCAAGGGCAGAATCCAAGATCAGGGTCAAAGGCAAACCAGGTCAGCAATGGAAGACATATACAGGACACTAGCAGAACAGAGGATACAGCCAAAAACCAATCAACGCTGACACTGGAAAAGAGTATCCTTTTAATAGGTTGTCTGGTGCCAACAGAGAATGTGAATGTGCTCCCACATCTTCATGCAAGGGTACCTTGTAAGAAGGCACGATAAAGCCCCTCAGCCTTGCAAGGCATTGTGTTCAATGGCCTTTACCCTACATCCTGACCCCATATAGGATGTGGAGGTTTGTTAGAGGGATTTATTGGACTCTGGATCCCTCCTTTATAATAAAAAGACCCTCCAGGGGAATGAGTGTGTGGAGCATTAGTACCTCTTGTTATCTATTCCAGAAAAAGTTTTTTAATAACCCCCCACCCACACACACACACACAAAAAGAGTAAACAATGTACATACACAATTAATTGTGATGGTGGGGAAACATCATCACTCAGCAGCTCGTCATGCATAATGACGGATTTAGAGCACTGAATGACATGCTGCACCCTTCTTCCCTCAAACCATATCAGGCCATAAACAGGCTGGGTTCAGACCCAAATCTAAAACTCATCCCTTATCCCTAGATATAACCACTTTCACTGGCAGCTAATATACTCAAAGATCAGTAATGTAACTATTACAAAAAGGGCAAAGGTGTCTTACACTTATGGGTTGCACCTGACATCGTGGCTTCACCTTCTCTATGCAAGAGGCAAGATTTCAGCACCTAGTAGGAGAGCATCTAAGTCTTGAGGGAGATACTGGTGCATTTTTTCACTGGCTATGTTATCCATGCAGTATCTGTAAACATTGGGAAAGGAGAATGTTACTTCAACTAGCAGGTTAACCCTAGCTACAAAGAAAATGCTGATAGTATATAAATGTGAAATATCTCATTTTTTGCTAGGTTATGTGAACACATACAATTATCTTGCTACAAATGTGTGTTTTGACGTATTGTCTGTATACTACAGCACATGATTTTTTTTTTATCCTGATGCCATCTTTATCTTACTTTTTTCTTTACTTTTTATTAAAGTTACTTAAACAAAGAGGCAAGTTGAAAAGGGAAAACATTTCTGCTTTTATACAGTGAAACAAGGTTCCATGTGATTACTGATAATGGGAATACAACCAGCTGACAAGGTAATAGTTTCTAAAGTTATAAAATCAATTGAGAGGTTGAAAAAGTTCCATTTACACAATGACATAGAAATATAGCACCTATTTTTTCATGTAACTTTTCAATGTATTTATTTATATCACTTTTTTTCCTGTTATTGATTTCTTTGTTGAAATTTAAGTACATTTAACACACACACAATATAACATACTTCGAAAATTATTTAATAAATGTAAAAGTCAATGGTGATGCACTGAACTGAAGAAACCAAAAACAACCAGATTTTAGTTTACTTCATGAAAACCAGTAAAATATGTTTTATGGATTTTTTGGGCCACTGCTCTGCTGAATGAATGTTCACTTTGATAAATTAACATTCTCTTCTTTTAAATTAGCCTTCATGTCAATTAACTCACTGAAAAAAAAGCATGTGACAGAGCGTAGTCAGACGGGCCGGGTCAGGAACAATCAGGCAGACAATGGTACCAAAGGAGCAGACTGGAGAGAGTGGTCAGGAATAGCAGAGGTCAGGACAGGCGGAGTTCAATCAGAGTCAGGGATCCAGCAGGATCAGACAGGAAGCAGACAGGATGCAGGTACAGGGGCTCTTGGGAAACATACACACAAGGCCCCCTGATTGCAAGTCTGGCCATTACTTATATGCATCTCCTGCAATCAGCCTCAGGTGTTTTGGCTGACTGCAGGAGTGAGCCTCTGGTTGCTGAGAGCACCCGCTGGCCAGTCCTGGGACTGCAAACCCACAAGGCAGGTGAGTCCCACAACTACCAATTTATTGGCAAGTCCATTCCTGGCAGTACCCCCCCCCCCCACTCCCCTCAAGGAGCGGCCTCAGGACGCTCCAAACCGTCCCTAAATGGGAAAAATGTTCCACCGCCCGGATCCGGTAATTGGCGGGATATCAAGGACTGGTACATCAGGCTGGGCACTGGGCAGAGGCACATCAGGCTGGGCACCGGAACAGAGGCACATCAGGCTGGGCACGGGACAGAGGCACATCATGTTGGACACCGGACAGAGGCACATAAGGCTGGACACCAGACAGAGGCACATCAGGCTGGACACCGGACAGAGGCACATCAGGCTGGGCACCGGACAGAGGCACATCAGGCTGGGCACCGGACAGAGGCACATCAGGCTGGGCACCGGACAGAGGCACATCAGACTGGGCACCGGACAGAGGCCACATCAGGCTGGGCACCGGACAGAGGCACATAAGGCTGGGCACCGGGCCACCAGGCGGAGCAGCGGGCACCGGGCTACCAGGCGGAGCAGCAGGCTCCAGGCCACCAGGCGAAGTAGCAGGCATCGAGTCATCTGGCAAGACTGCGGGCACCGAGTCATCTAGCAAGACAGCAGGCACCAAGTCATCTGGCAAAACAGCGGGCATCGGGTCATCAAGCTCGACAGCCAGGCACCGAGTCATCTGGCAAGCCACAGCGGGCACCGAGTCATCTGGCAAGACCAGCGGGGCACCGAGTCATCTGGTAAAAACAGCGGGCATCGGGTCTTTAAGTTCGAGAGCGGGCACCGAGCTCATCTGTCAAGACAGCGGGCACCAAGTCATCTGGCAAGACTGCGGGCACCGAGTCATCTGGCAAGACTGCGGGCGCCGAAGTCATCTGGCAAAAACAGCAGGCATCGGGTCGTCAAGCTCGACAGCGGGCACCGAGTCATCTGGCAAGACAGCGGAGGGGCACCGAGTCATCTGAAAAAACAGCGGGGCACCGGGTCATCTGGCAAGACAGCGGGCATCGGTCGTCGTCAAGCAAGACAGCGGGCACCGAGTCATCTGGCAAGACAGGCACGGCGCACCGAGTCATCTGGCAAGACAGGGGCGCGAGTCATCTGGCAAAGACAGCAGCAGCATCGGGTCTTTAAGCTCGACAGCGGGCAACCGAGTC